CCCGGGATGTGGTCTGGGCCTCTGGCATCTCCCCTCAGACGTCTGTAGGCTGTTACCCGGCCCTCCCCCGTTAGCTGTTGTTTAGTCAAGCAGCACAGATTTAGCTCTTTTAATCTTCCCTTGTAAATCAATCTCTACGGCCCCTTGAGCCCAGGCTCCATTTTTCTTCCTAGCGTTCCAGCTTGCAGGGATGCCGGTGTCTGCTCCGAGCAGTCAGCGATGAGCAAATATGTAAAGAGGGTGTGCTGAGAGCTCAGTGTGGCTCTGAGGAGAGGTGCTGGTGGTTTATCTCTGGCCTAATTATTAATCATGAGCCTGGTGTTCAGCAGAAAAATGCAAGTTTCTGTTACCTGCATTGTACAGACCAGGTGCACCTTTTTCTTTCTGAAAAGCTTGATCTCTGGCACAGTAGTAGTGAACATTAGGGAGAGGATTCTAAAGTGGAGGGGGCAGCGAGCTCTCTAGCAGCCGGTGGGGAGGGCTGGGGCGAGATCGCCAGGGCAGGGTGCTCCTGCAGACCATCCCTGCAGGCACTTTGAGAGGTGCTGTCCCAGCAGGTCTGCGGCCAAGCTGCTGCAGCGGTCCCAGAGGCGTTTGCTGGCTGAGTGAAGGTCTCCTTCCCAGGCAAGCCTTTGGAGATGTTTCAACATGGGCGGTAATATGTGAATGTTGTGTAAAATGCATTAAATTGTTTAATGTGTGGGCCCCTCATGAAATAAATATATAAACTGTATCTAACAAGACAAATATAATGAAGGCATCATAAAAAAGAGGCAGCTCTGGTATAAATTCTTGCTGGTAGAGCTGTATGTCTGAAAGGTGGATTATAGAACTGCAGTTTGGAAGATTGAATGGCCCATAAACATTTTCATATTTCATTAGCCGATTAATGGATGGCTTTTTTCTTTTTTTTGGGGGGGGACACGACTTTGCTGATTCTAAGCAGAAATTATAGGAAGCAAATGAAAGCGGCTGATGAAACCTTTCCGGGGGCCTGTCCCATTATGGATTGTCCCAATTAATGCCCATGCTGCTCTCTGTCAAGATGCATTCTGCCTGTCCAGTTACTGTTAATAGATTTCTCATAAGTGGCTGGATTGTAAAAACCTCATAACTCAGTTTAATGCCACCAATAAAATTATCTCTGGACGTCTGGCCTGGATTCCAGTCAGCTCCTGGTCCGTGGGGAGCTGCTGTTTACCCTTTCTTTTCCTAATTTCAAATGTTGTCTTAATTAGAAAATGAAGCAGGGATTGGCTACAAAAGCATCTTCCCCAGGGTCTGTTTTTCATCCTGAACACAGACCTAATTTACCACATTCTCCTGCAGGCTTTGCTCAGGTGGGGGTCTGGGTGTGATGTTGTGAAGGGTTGATCCCCCCGCTACCTCTCCACATAAGCCCGGTACAGACGTGCAGCAAGCACGTGAGCTCTCGGGCAGGGAGACTTGTGAGCACTGACTGCCCGGAAAACGGAGGGTGGCTGTGGCTGGAGCGGAGCTGGCGGATGAGGATGGGCTTTGGGCGGCTGGATGGGGAGATGGGGACAGATGCTGGGTGGTGAGCTGTCCTTACGCTCCGGTCTGCTGTGCAGCTCGGGAGAGGTGATCCTGCACTGACAGAGTCCTGGGTCCTTGCCCACAGGGAAGCGTCTTTTTCTGGAGTGCTGTTAAGTTGTCCTTCCCTTTTCCAGCATCTCCTAGCCTCATAGTGGTGGGGTTTGTGGTGTGGGTGGGTACTGGCAGGATTTGTGATCTGCCAAGCACATGGTGGCATAGGCAGGACAGAAGTTCTGGTTTATTGGGCCTTTCTCTGTGCACAGGCATCATTTGGTGGTGCTCTGTGCTGCTCTCCAGTCCAGCAGCAGCAGAGGGAGCAGATGGGCATCATGCAGGGACCATGGGCACCTTGCACCAGGGGCTCCGCACCCATGTGGTCTTGGCTGTGGGGGCACAAGCATGGCCCCAGCCTGCTCCCACCCTCTCCCTCT